CTCATTAAACTGGGGTGATCAGACTTTTTAATAAGCTGATTATTAGCCGACCTGTTTTTCTATTCATATGAAGCAAAATTTATTCAAAAACTTCTACACGAGGAGAAAACACTAGTCTGATTTCCAATTCCACATTAAGAAATATAGACCGAAATATTATCAATTAAAAACATTATTTCTATTGATATGTCTACATGACAAGGCCAGGTCAGCCACATTCACAATTCTGTAAAACTTGAAGTCTGCCATATCTGTTTTATATTTGGAAGTTTGATAGACTAAAGACGACAAGGGCCAACTGAAACGCATGGCAAACGAGATTACCGTCAACTTTCCTTATAGAACCCACTTACCAGTGAAATCAAACTTTATCCATAATACTTGAGGAAAGAAAACATTTTGTTCTGTGTTGATGAAAATATTATGTAGGTTATATTCATTAAACTAAGTTATTTTTTTTAATAGACGTAGAATTTAAAATGTAATTATGACAATTGTGTCCAGACCTCTTTAATAGAAAGGATTCAGCACTTTGCGATACGGTTGTCATATTACTTAAACATGCCACTTTTAAACATTTTTTTACATTCCCAACAATCAAAATGACATTGAATTACCCTACCTTTACTGGATCCTTATAAATCATAAAAATCCTTCAGATACGATACATACCATAAGAGGGTTCAAATAATTGTCCCTTTTAAAATATAAGCAGCGATGGAGGAGAAATTTCGGTAGTACTGTACAACGATATATTCGAGAAATAATATAAATTAGTTGTGGATATGTTAAAACTCTTTTACATAAATTCATGAAATTCAATGATAACGACATTCTTCTTCATATCATGTCAAACAATGATAAACTTTTTCAAAAAAAAAATGAACTCACAAAATTTTAACAAATTCAACATCAAAACCGACGACTTTCAGCAACCATTCCTCACGATAAATTAGTAAACAGTAACTGTTCTTTTTAAAAATAGAAATGGAACTAGTAAATATACCTACCTTATAATTGGTCATTTGCAATATTATTTTATTAAAACATTCTCTTTGAACACAGAAGTACTCTAAAGTTGATATTAAAAAATGCTTGAGTTTCCGATTCAAAATATTTTTTTAAACAAACTATTGGAATGTTGTGCCTGCATTGTCAACTTATATATAATTTCTTAGTTATTTTGCTTTATAGAACTTAGATTGATTGTTTACATTTTGTGCGGCGGTTGACCGTTGTTATGCTGATTTTAATGAGTCAATGTTAGCTAAATGAACTTAGAATTATTATAATGTTTCTAAAGTCTCACGATATAGTAAAGATAGAGAAACTCTTCTGCAAATTATTACCGTGATTTTGCTGAATGCTTTTAAAAGTACTGAAAATGTCTTTTAAACACTAGTTGTAGAACCGGTATGGTATGAAATACGGATCTCCGGATAAGTTGTAAATACGCCGACATACCTGTACACTTTCTATTAAAAGACTTTATAAATAAGACTTCTGGATTAGATTAAAAATCATAGATTAATTAACGACTTTTATAGATGTTTTATTAGTAAATAAAGTAGTTCAAGTACATTGATTAAAGTAAAGTTTTTGAAGTTTTACGAAATGCATATGACGTAGATGATGCATCATTGCGTCATAGTATGAAAGACGGGATTTCAGGAGTGCGTTGTCAGAATTCCCCTTTGAAGTGTCACCTGCCTTTCAGCACCTTGCACCTTGATCTGAGGTATTATTCATATAAGTAAACATGTTAAAGTAAAGATATCTTAAAATAGTTTCAGGATAAGTTTAGCGCAGTAAGAACATTTATCCAGTTTGAAGTAATATTGAATATTTAGAAATTTAGATTTATTGAAATTCAGCGATATAGATAGTTTTCGATTGACCAAGAGTTACTCCCCTTTGGCCGCCATACTGGAGGTCCAAATGCTCATATTCCTTCATTGTTCAACCAATTAAAAAATTTTATATTTGCTATTTTGAATTATAAATCATTATTTTTCTGAAGTATTTAAATTTTTGGAAGCCTCCTTTATTTAAAAAAAATTATTTGATAAAGATTTTCCTCCAAATATTTCTGCTATATTTTCTTAAACTTGGTAAGACAAAGAGGGAAAATCACTGAGTCGACCTCCAATATGGCGGCCAACGGGAGGTAACTTTCGCTAAATTCAGGCCTATCGAAAACTATCTATTTAGACAGTCGGTGCACTCGGGATTCTGACCCTGGGAGACACAGAAAATTGTCTCTCCCAGTAAAGTTATAGTTGTTATTTAAAGTTTGAAATTTGTTAGCAGTTTGAATTGGTATTTACTCTATTTTTATTGACAAGTAAAACTTAGTCGATTCTTCTCGTTCGGTGTGAAGTCGCACCGTTTGACTATATTACGACAGTGCACCGTACTTGAATTAATTATCTGTTGCATGTATGTATCCCAAGTGTTGGTAAATTTGCATGGCATACTTTTTACTTTAATGACATAAATTACTTTATTCTATAACCAGAAGTTATAGATTTAGGGTGGTGGACTTTAGTTGAGCATGTGCGGAATTATTGAGATAGTCGGGTGCGCTTGCACATTACACCGAGTTACTTTGTGAATTTATGTTCCGAGTTTAGACAGTATATTTCAGCAGAAACCTAGCACCTAACAACGAGTAAGATTATGTAGCACCAGTCAAGCAAAGGTGGAACTTAGACCCAATTAGCTTATATCAGTAGCACCTGGCACCTGAACACCGGACACCTAGAACCAGTTTGCTCCAGTGTCATCGGAAGCACCTAGCACCTTAAGCCGTTAGCACCTTTCACCGAGTCTAACGCGCATGTGACCTTTTAAATATAATTTTTATTATTGTACATTACAGTGTGAATTGGGACATTATATCAAAATATTAATTGTGTATTGTACTTTTCGTTAATTTAATAAATTGATTGTCATTGATCACACTTGTTCTATCTAAATTTTACTTTTAAAAGCAAAGGTATCTTCGAACCCATTATTGTAACGTGCCTCTAAGGTACCTTCTGATTGAATACACACATAAGACAAAACCATTACAGGAATTTCGATGGGTACCGATTGCTTCCAATTATTAGACAGGCCTATTTTTGTATTCATATGATGCAGAATTTATTCAACAATTTACACACGAGAAGAAAAAAAAAACTTGCTGTGGTCTTTTACTCGACATTTAGACATGTAGCAAGATATCCTTATCATCTGCATACAGGTTTTATATCTCTCAGTTGATTTGGAAGAGCATGTTCTACGTACGAACAATTTCAAAAACGAGTTAATTGAAATACAAGTTGATGAAACAAGAATTCAACACTCATCATTTTGTAAGTTCTATGATCAATACAACGACCATGCCAGCATATAATCTATCGTTAAGTCATATGTTGACTTTCTTTTTTTCATAATTATTGTTAGGCCATTGTTTACGCACTGAATTGTCGTAGGATTTTTTTCCCATTATATCCCGATCATGACAAGGAGCACACGGCAGGTGAGACCTGTCGGCAGGGGATGCTTATTCCTCAATGGCACCTGATCCCGCCTCTGATGATTTAGAGGTGCGCGTTTACTCTGCTCCTGATTTATATTATTTGAATGCACTTTCATTCGTTTATTAACTCGATGAGTTAGATTAACATTAATCTTACAGCAAAACTCTATTTTTCAATTTTATCGTCAACTTCCCCTAATTGCTTGTGTAGCAATATACTTTATCATCTGCATATGGGGATAATGTCTCCCAGTCCATTTGATACGAATCATTTTTTAAATTCAGGCAAGCTATTGCAAAAAAGTTGATGAAACAAGGAATTCCACAATTTCGATTAAGGTAGAGATGACAATCGAATACAGAATCGCTAATTGGTGAACCGCAAAACGTTCCGAATAATTAACCTTTTTATCGTATCATTTTTGGCATTTTCTTTCAAGTAGATCAATTTATATTCACAATTCACAAGAAGACTAAAAGGACGTAAAATGTTAGAAATATTGAGTTTACCTTGATTATAAATCTACATTTAGGTATATGCTATTGAAATTTCAATATTAAAAAAATGAAAACCCATGAAACAGAGACACAGAACAGAAACAGAAACAGAGAAGCATGAGAACTCAGACATTAGTAATTTTCCAGATCAGTTGTCAAACAAGTTCATTCTGCATTGTCGCCACACTCAAATTAAACTTTCACTTAATGTTCTCTGACTAATAATGTTATTTGAAAGAAAACTGGAAAAGTTACATACTAATTAATTGTGCTCAGTGGCGATTTAATTAATTTCAAAGAAAACAGCACAGTCGGGATAACGACATGGTGTTCAAACGGTAATCAATAATTAATAATAAAAAATGACTCCCGGTGAAAAAAACCCCCATCCCAACAGATTTCAATACAAAGTTAAAACGAGATAATTTATGCCAAGGTTTGGCATCAACAGATTATTCTCTTGCTTTTTAATGATTGAATCTGGACGAAACGCGATTAAAAATGTAACTGTCCCTAGACCCATTGCTTTGTCACACAATTCTTGATCTGTGGTCGCAGAAAACGAATCTTCCAACACCAGAATAATAACATTCATATTATGGATTGAAAAAGAAACATACAACTAAATATTTGGTAATCATATATGGAATATTATTGAGGAAGATTCATATTTTCTTTTATTCAATGATGCATTATGTTCAAAAATGGATTTTCAAAAGATATGTGTTTATTATTGTTTCGTATTGTATTAATTATTGTCAGTCATATATCAAACATTTTACGAAGGAACAATGTTATTTATGGTAAGTTTTAGTTGATAATACTAGGTGCGATAGTATCAATGATACATAGTGTTTATTTGTTTGACAAACTGCCTCTTATCGATAGGGTAGTTATTGGTTCTTTGCCTAAAGATTAATGACGCTTAAAAGACATATTCATTCGCCAAGAAAAAAGTTCCTCATTCTGTTTAAGGATTTGGAAAGGGTGGATAATTGTAAATAACGATGACAAATAAAGGGTAAAGTATAAAAAAGTCAAAACTTTTTATTTGCAATATGAAAAAAGCACTTAACGTGATTCATCTAAATGTTGTACCGGTATTCATATATTATAAGTCTTAGTATCTTATATTGTACCTTTTAATTTTTTGAAATATATACTGGTTTTCTTGTGTGCATATTAAGCAATTTTCTGAATTAACGATTTTTTCTCTATAAAGAATAAATTAGATTGGTTGACGAAAATATTATTATCTTCTTTATCAGACATCATTCTTTTAATCTGTATAATAATAAACGTATATGAATAAGATCCACAGAAGTCATCAAATCAATGCCTTGTAAAACAAATCTTTTGAGGGGTAATTCATAGAACTTTCGGTGACATGCAAGTTTATTAAATATCATAGGATGTTTCAATATTTCATTTACATATACAGCTGTACAGTGTACTTTTGAATAAGCAATATTTAAACTATATTGAAAACATTTGAGAAGCTTTTCTTATTTCTTGACATTATTTTGTTTTGTTTTCTAAAATAGATTTACATAAGAAATTATTTCAAATGTATTATTTTCATGAAAATTAACATGAACCCCATAGAAAAATCAAAGTTCCTCAGATATTTGTTTTGTATATCTTCGTAATATATGAAAAAAAACATTTAAAATCATTACCTTGTGAATTCTAAACTGGTTTCAAATTTTCTTTAATAAATTGCAATGCTAAAATTTATGATTTTTGGGAATTTAATTTTTTTTCCCAAACGGATTTTATAGGCAACACTATCCTTTGTTATCCTACACAAATGCCATGTAAGGTATCTCAATTTTTTTTTTGTAAACTTTGAAAGGTAGCTTTAATTCAATGAAAAAAAATCTTGGAAAAAATTATATATTATTTAGAAAGGTATCGTCTGTTATTAACACTAGACAATATTTTTCGTTCATTTAAGTGTATTGTTATTAAATGAATAATTTGTAATTACACCTAAATGAATATTATTTATATACATGTGTATGGGCAACTTCATTAAAGACCGATATTTTTGTTTATAGAATTTTGTCACCAAAGAAAACTTATTTATTGTTTTTAAGAGTGTTTTGCAAATTCAAAAAATATACCATATCTTTTGTTGATAACACGAAAATAATAGGGCGCGCAGTATAATGGAATGTAGGGAGCGACCTGGCTTGGTGACCTAAACTGAGAACAGACTTAATTTAAAATTTTGATTTTGAATAGCTTGTCCTTTATAAGACATATGTTACTAAGAATTTGTAGGTTTGTATAATATTCCAGTTTAAACACATTGTAACACATTTATCTTAGTTGATCTCTTACGCATTAATAAAATTCTTAATAAGCAAAAGGAAATTCTTTGACGTTTGAAATATTGTAGCGACTGTAGAAACATAACTTATTTTCGTTTTTGAAAATAATTTGCTTTTCAAATCTTCCGATTTAATTACTTTTTAAGAACTAATACTTAGTGGTAAATGGAGTTTTATGAAGAGACTTACTTTTACATTTGACAGCTGACTTTTACATTTGAGTGATTGGAGTTTGTCTATGTTAAAATTGTAAAAGCCAGTCGTCCATTGTAAAAGTAAGTCTCTTCATAAAACTCCAATACCCGGTATTTAATCCATTTAAAGTAAAGATAAAGATGGTAGAAACATCGTAAACTCTACAGAGGTTTTTATTTCGTGTTAGTGTTCTTTGCATCTTGACCAGACAATGGAAAGTAGCCAATTTGAAAGACAAAAGCATAGAAATTCAATATTGCTAGCCATTTTAAAAATATTCAATAGGCCCTATAATACTTTTTTCGCTTCCTATTTATAATAAAACAAAATGACAGGTCGAGTTGTACTTAATTTTAGCTATATACTTATTTACATTTTCTGTTACGGTTGGTAGGAGAAAATCCGACCATGGCAAGTCGGAATAGCTGCAGGTTTAACTGTTGATATCTTAATAATTCTGACTAAGAAAAAGTTTCAAATTGCTTCGCATAATCAATTATTTGACCTTTCTGCACTGTGATGTGATTTTTCTGGCATTGTAAAGTTGATAAGCAAGAAAATTATTTTAAAGTCTTAAACTTTTTCTGATTTTAAGCAAGTAGGTCAAATTTATCTTGAATATTTTGAAAAGAACATCAAAAGTTCGGGTATATGATGTAAATTTTCAGATATTACTAAAAAAGTGTCAATTTTACGTTAAAATTGGCTCAATTTTCCCCCGGATTTTCAGAATTTATTTACTATATTTGTCACACTTTGTTGATAGAATTCATAAGAAATAATTAAATAGATATTTCAGAACCAGTATAACACATTTCACTGCAAAAAACAGCTTTGTGTACAACCAGGATGGGAAAATAGGACCTTTATAGTTCAAAATGAAAAAACTGATCATTTTCGTCTAAAAAACCTTCCGCCACAAAATATAGTCCCTAGCTTAATTCTACTTGAAGGGAATTTAATCGCAGTTTTTTCATTGAATATACATGTAGTTAAATTTGCACTGTAGAATTAAGATTTAATGTTAGAACTTAGAAATGATGCAGAATTCTTTAAATAAAGGACCTGACCAAAATATACTCAAAATCTCAGGATCGAACGTCCTTAACTAGTGCTTTCGTGTAGAAATTAGGGTTCTTCTAAACTGAAAATTAGGTGTTGGCCACACTCATGCAGACGGGATATAAATACTAAGACATAGTTGGAGATTCTCTCTGAAATTAAAATATGTAGAGTTAATACCATCTGTACCTTGCTGTATCTAATCTAATAGAACGGCGTTGTAAATCTACATCATCAAAACGTGCTACCCTTCCTTTTTAGACTTGTTCAATGAGTATAACCATGTTATTTTCACGCTGAGATAACTATCTTATTTTCTATTATCCCTCTGATTGCAGAGCTTCAGAAACCTTTTCAAAATGGTTAATGAGGAGTTTTGTTCTGATGTGGGTAGCCCTTACACTGCTGACTGTTGCTCTTTTATTACCGTACTGGGCAACTGGAAGTGTAGCTGAGGGTAATAGAACAAAAACCGTCAGAATCGGGCTCTGGAATTACTGCGAAAATTACTACGACGAAGGATCCCCAACCCAATGTAAGAGAGTACTTGACTACCCGTTACTCACTGAGGAACAAAAAGGTAATATGCTTCATCACAAGTTACCATATCATAATGAAGTAAATAAAATAACATTTTTTGCTTAAATTTTGTATCGCTTAACATGTTTTCATTTTAATAAAAATGCATAAGGTTTTTGATAAAATCTATTTCAGTAAACTCTACCTATTGCTATCTATTTTCGTTCGTCGTCCGTCGTGTGTTAACATTTGAACATTTTCAGCTTCTTCTCTGCAACCGCTCAACCAATTTCAACCACATTTGGCATAAAGATTTTATTGGTCAAGAGGAACAAAAATTATGAATTTCATGGTCCCTGTCCCCCTGGGGCCTAAGGGATGGGTCCAAAACCACTAAAATTAATGAAATCTTTAAAAATCTTCTTCTTTACTCCTGAACACCAAGTAGTCAAACTGTTTGTATGACTGTAATCAGCATTGAGTCCTCTACCAAAATTATGAAATTCATGGCTCTAGGGTCAGGGGTTCGTAGGTGCTGGGGCGGCGCTATATATAGATTATAGAGTGAAAATGCATTATTTCTTTGAAAATCTTCTTTTCTGCTCCTGGGTATTTAATAAACAAACCAAATACATAGTTATGTTGAATTATGCTGCCCCTTTCAAAATTTTGAATTTCATGGCCCCGTGGTCAGGAATTCTGGTGTTAGGGTTGTGCTCTATTGATTATACAGTGAAAAACATTGATTCTTTAAAAATGTTCTCTGCTCCTGGGTATTATATCAGTGAACTTTGTAAATAGTTTTGATGAGGAAGACTGCCTCTTCCAAAATTGTTAATTTCAGGGGCCCTGGGTCAGGGGCTTTGGTGTTAGGGCAGGGTTCTAATGACTATATATAATGTGAAAATGCATGAAATCTTTGAAAATCTTTCATTTGCTCCTGGATGTTATGCCAACGATCTAAGTACATATTAATGATGATAAAATGTGCCTCTTCCAAAATGCTTAATTTCAGGACCCCTGGGTCAGGGGTACTTACTACAGTAATATAGTATAGTAATATAGTATAGTCTGAAAAAAATAATCCTTGAAATGTGCTTCTCGGTAGTAATCAACCATTTATCATGCAATAAAATTCATGATAAAATTTCCAAAATTTTTAAATGTGTGGCCCCAGGGTCAGTGGTTCCTGTGAGGTGGGGTGCAAAACTGTTATAATGTGGAAATGCATTTTCTCGTTGTTACTCTGATCTACCTCTGCGTATTAAGTTACTAGAGAAAGCATGCCAAGTGTATAGTTATAATAAGCAATTATGCCTCTTTCAAAATTGACCGTTCACGGTAGCTCAGTCGGTAGAGTGCTCGCTCCGTGATCGGGAGGTCGTGAGTTCGTATCTCGGTCGTGACTGACCTAGTCGTTAAAATGGGTAGCAACTGTTCCTTCGCCATGCGCTCGGCACTTTGAAGTGAAAGTTGCGGGTCCTTCGGACGAGACCTTAAAAACCGAGGCCCGTGTCAGCGGCAGGCGTTGGCACGATAAAGATCCCTTACTGTTCAATGGCCCTGAGTGCCGAGTAAAAGTCAAAATTTGAAGCCCTTCACCGGCAAACGGTGACGTCTCCATATGAGTGAAAAATTCTCCAGAGGGACGTTAAACAATATACAATCAATCATACAATCTTTCAAAACTGTGAATTTCATGGGCATTGGTTTAAAACACGAGGCAATTCTAAATGTTGGAAAGTTGTTACATGATACTCAGGTGACCTATAAGGCCCATGAATCTCTTGTTTGTATTCATATAAAACAGAATTTGTCCAAAATCTTATACTTGAAAAGAAGAAAACACTTATGGGGCCGTCAAAACCATATTTAGATATATCGACAACGTATCGTCAATTAATGATGGTTGTTTCCATTCTTATGTTGATACAATATATCCCGGTGAGCTTGATATAAAAGATATCACAACGTCTTACACATTTTTTTCATATTTATAAATTTTGGAAAGATTATTGCAAAAGAAGCTATTACCTCGGCTCTTCCATTCACTGTAGCTTACACGAAATATAATACATGGTTTTTAAAATATGTCACATTTGCAGTCAAGGTAGAGAGTTAAAAAATTGTAATTATAAGCAAGGAATCTTTATATTTTTTTTTGAAAATAAAGTGGATAAAGTGTCATTACTGCAACGGTGCATGCACACAAATTTTTATGACGCGCTTACCATGCTAACGCGCGTTACTCATTTTTTGTTTGTTGTTTTTGTTTTTGCACAAGCTGTTACAGTTATTGGACTACGTCTTTCAAAGAATAATGATTAAATGCTTAAATATTTCACAAAGATACATCTTAATTTGCTGAATTTTGTTTCAGGTTTGCTGTGGAGCATTTATGCTTTGATGCTACTTGTGCTATTTTCTCTCACTCTTGCCATTTTTACTCTTGGTCTCAAAATGTTCCTTTTGAAAAGTAAAGTCATTTTGTTGCCAGTCAGCATTCTACTCAATAGTATTACAGGTATGTTAGAAATGAAGTTATTAGTTATAATGTGCTTGAATTCATTTTGGAAAAGACTGAAGAGTTCTTAAATATCAAAAGTAAACATCCCGTGGGGATCCGGGTTAGAATAGGTCCTCAGTACCCCTTGCTTGTCGTAAAAGGCGACTAAATGGGGCGGTCCTTCGGATGAGTCCGTATAAACCGAGGCCAAGTGTCACAGCAGGTGTGGCACGATAAAGATCCCTCCCTGCTCAATGGCCCTGAGTGCCGAGCATAGGCCCAAATTTGCAGCCCTTCACCGGCAATGGTGACGTCTCCATATCAGTGAAATATTCTGGAGAGGGACGTTAAACAGTATACAATCAATCAATCTATCAAAAGTAAACAGTTTTCAAACACAGCAACGTATAAACTATCTCTGCTTTGGATTGCTTTTTTTTAAAACATCCTTAGTATAAAATATTGATAGTTATTTACTTCCAATTTTTTGTCTTTAAAAATTAAAAAAAAAAAAAAAAAGAATTGTGAAATTTTGGATAAAAATGGCCCAGTAAAGCAACCTGATGTTTGTAAATAAAGCTACGGTAGGTAATTCAACCTGTATAGCTAAATGTACTGATTGTACTGGACCCGTTCAAGGCCATTGTAAAATTGTATTATTAAAAATAATGTTATATCTCAAAAAAATTACTAATTGAAATTTATGACAAAATGACTGTTTTCTGGCAAAAAAAACCATCATTCCAATGAGGGAGGATCATTATAATTGCAACCCAGATTTGCTTATCAGAAGTAAAAAGATTGTAACTATTAGATGACAGCAAATATCAAAAAGAAAGAAATCGGTATACCAGGGCTTGCAGCGATTCAAACAAATATTTATATGTAATATATTGGTTATATAATATCTTTTTTTTCCAGTAACGGCCCTCCAAGTTGTTATACTTCTTATCCGTGTAAATCTGGACCAGATTGGGAGGGATTTACCAGGAGCCTCTTTGCACTTTTCCTTTGTATTATCTTCAATTGCAGAATTTGTCTGCTTTGTGGCAGATGTAATGATGGGAATAGAAAAGTTATTCCACCGATAATTTTGACATAAATCAATTTACTTAAAGGTCCATAGTGGCAAAAAATTTTTATCTACCTGTATTGCTTTGATTTTACCTTTAAATCACTAAGTGACTGTAGGCATTATTCCCAAAAGTTGTTTTTATTTAGACTGAATAGTTGCGTGTTTGTTGTTAGCGTTCCATTCGAGAAATTTTGGATCATACGGAGAGGTCTCCTTATACCGGTGAAGGACTTTCAGGAGCTCGTTTCACTTTATGCATAAATGGCCCTGTAGATACTAGTAAACCAATTGATTGATTAACATTTCCAAAGTGGAATAAAGACAGAAAATTTTGTAATACATTTTTTATTACGCATTTGATAAACGCCACTGTATGCATCCAGGCATTTAAATGCTGATTCTTTGCAATGCAAAATATTGCTTTTGTGAAACCCGTATGCTTAAAGAAAAGAAGAAATTATTTTTTAGAAAATATTCACACGTGGACTAGCAAAGTTGTTCAAGGGATGTCCGAAAAAATCGTGGACAAGTTGTCTAGAGTGATAAAATAATCATCATTGCTTTCCAAAATTTTCACGTCTATAGTACCTTTTCATCAATATACATAGCAAATTTCAAATAGATATTTGCATAAATAGACAAATTATAAAATTTTATGTTATGCGTTGTATCAGCGCACGGATGATGATGTTTAAAGCAGTTTCACGTTGTCTTTTTGCTGAAAAAAGTAGAATACCACTTGAATTAAGGAAATGTCACTGATGCACATACTGCAGTAACAGTATTTGAGTTTCCCTTTATTCCTCAATAAAGAGTCGAGGATTCGAATTCTCGAACACACATGGGGCCTTCTGAAGATTTATTATTTAAGGAATGAAGCTTATTTCAACTTATATTATACGATATAACATAACTTGGGACAGTTTACGCTTTATAAACCGCGAAGCGGTTTATAAAACAGCGTAAATTTCCTCAAGTTATGTTATATCGTATAACATGAGTTGAAAATAAGCTTCATTCCTTATAATTTAATTTCAGTGTAGACATGGAGACAATTTTTCCTCCAGTAAAAGGCTTCAAATTGAGTATATTTTATAAGTAACGTCAAACGGAGTAATAAGTTATAGAAGTAACTCAGTTTTACGAATTATGTTATGCAAAATGGATTACATCTTTTAACCTAACAAATCAAACGACGTGTTACAACTAAAATAAAATTATTAAGTTATGGACAGTATATTCGCAAGCTCATTATCATTCAATCTTAAATCGTCAGTATACAGCGTCAGCATCTTTAGCACCTCCGCTAGCCAAGGGTTTTCTGATACCACTCTCCTCATAAACGGAGAGTCACGTATCAGAAACCTTTAGCTAGCGAAGATGCATCTTAAGCTGTTTGTTTGTTTTACCCGGGGACTCGATCAATAAAGATTTCGTTATGAAATAATTTCACTTGAAGAAATTTAATCATTTTTTTACTTCTGTATTCCTTAAAAATCTCTAAGGGCGTGAGTACTTCATCTACATCAAACTGATGTGCGCTGTAACGTCATTAAACGTCGCCATATTTTATATGTTGAGATTACCACTTTCATATTTGAATGCATTGGGAAATTGTCAAAAATAGAACAAATGCCTTGAAATTTTCTACAAGGCGACGCAATAGATTGTGGATTAAAAAAAAGATTTTTACCCCAATCTTATCTATTTGATTCTTTTCTTTCCAAATAACATTATTGTATCCTCTATTGAAATCATGGCTTCGTAGGACCGTGTCATGTGCACATTCAAGCAAAAAGAAAATCTTTATTTTTGTCAATATTTAAAAAATAAAAATTCAGATGCATCTCAATATGATAAATAAACATTTGCTGAAATTTTCAGATTTATGCGCTCATCATTGTTTGAGAAAAAAAAAACTTTTGTCCACGATTTTACCGGACAACCCTCATATATACCTTATTATCATGTACAGAATTATTAATATAACAAGGATTATCTTTAATAAAAAAAAATAAGTGCATTTTAAAGATACGGACTTACAAATATTGTTATTGATTGTATCTGCAAAATATGTCCGATAAGAATTTGAAAAACTATAACATTTCAACCAAAAAAAAAAAAAAAAAAAAAAAAAACATACTAAAGTTTTGACATGATCTTTTACATATTCTATTTAAATCTGTGTTTTCTTCGTCAGGCTTAACGAGAATTGGATATATTAGTTTCTTACTATTAACTAGGAAGTTTAAAACGCTTAGTTTTCAGATATTTGTCTATAAGTTTTTGTTCCTTTATCTTCAAGTGCGGGCAATCTTCCGCTAGATTGAAGCATTATTGTCTATAAGACCAAAGAAGATTTTCAGATTAGAATTTTAAAATTAAAGCTCAGGAGAAAAATGTCATCAGATATTGTGACTGAGGTTCCAAACTGGAATCCATATTGTAGATGCGACTTTGCTTAGCTCATCTAAGCTGGATGCTCAAGTGATCTTTTCTGATCACAACTTGTCTTGCGACTGTCTGTCTCTATGTCCGTTTGTAAACTTCAAATTTACAATTTTTTTCTCAACCCATAAGGTCAATTTTAACCAAACTTGCCATATCGTAATCTCGGATAAAGGTGAAAAATTTTAAGCATCGGACTAGGAACTTAAAATAAACTTAAGTGTGAAAATATCCTCAGGTTAGGTAGAGTAGATTCAAGTTAGTTCAAAACGTAAGAAAGACTATGACATCTACGAAAAGCTGACTTTCAAGGAGGCTGTCGAAATGCTTGTAACATCAACTTCTCTGTCAGTATCCTGTTTTAAAATCTTTTCTATTCGGATCATGCTCTTGAGTATCGCATGAATTGAGAATTGTTAAGACCATATGCAGTAAATGTTCAACCAAGCCTCTTTCTTTGCTCCTCACTAAGATATTGACAGGAGTGAAGGAAAAACTTCAAGAGTACTGTGCAACAATATATTCAAGAAGTGGTGTGAATCAGATGTGGAAACTCAAAAATTCCAAAGAACTATGGGTACTAATAGCGCTCCGTTATTAGCAGACCTATTTTTGTAATCATATGAAGCAGAATTTGTGCAAAATCTAATTTGTGAAAATAAGAAAACAATCGCTGTGGCATTCAACTCGACATTTAGATATATCGACGACATGTTGTAAAATAACAATAGTAGTTTCCATTCTTATGTCGATACGATAAATCCTGTTGAGCTTGAGATACCTAAAAGATACCACAGAGTCTGGCACATCTGTTTTATATAGAGAATAATACATACCCTTTTCCATATCACATCCTGTATCAGCCCGAGACACCAATATCAGGCTGATATTGGTCGAGGGCTGATACAGGATGTGATATGGAAAAGGGTATGTTTTATTATATTTATTACATACTTAGTAATAAAATACAGAACACATTAAGTTGAGAAGAAAATAAGTAAATATAATCATGCATGGACTTCTTACAGAAATATACATGATCTATTGTCTCATACGATTTGGGTTTATTTCTACTTCTATTTCAATGCACTCGATCCGTAATTCAAAATAATCTATTACATGTATTTGTAAATTAAGATTAACCTTGTTTTCAAAAAGTTAAAATTAAGAGAATATGAACTCACCAAAACTTTTGTACGATCATAAGTACTGTTTTTGTGGTTTAATTTACTAAGAGTGTGATATTGACGTCACAATAGCCGTATCAACCCTGCAGGGCTGATATGGATTTGCGGGGCTGATATAGGTTATCAGCCCCGCAAATCCATATCAACCCTGCAGGGCTGATACGGCTATTGTGACGTCAGCCATATCGCATATACAAAAAACCTGTATTTATTACTAAGTGTGTAATAAATTTGAATATTTTACTTAAAAAAGACAATAATGGTTATATAACAACCATACTCTATGATAAACGTGATGACTTTTAACTTTTCGTCGTCAACTTCCCTTACTTATGCAGCAATATACCTTCATCACCTGCATACGGAGTTTGTATTACCTCAGTTGATTCGATACGCAAGAGCATGCTCTATAATTACTTTTGAACAATTTCGAAAACGAGGTAAATTATTGACAAACAAGTTGATGAAACAAGGATGTCAGCAGTCTCGTTTAAAGTCACCAGTTTGTAAGTTCTATGGTCGATACAATGACCTTGTCAGCAAATACAATTTATCATTGAGTCAAATGCTGACTGACATTTTCCATACCAATTGTCAGTCCATCATTTACACACTGAATTGACGACAGATTGTTGCATTATTTCCCGATCATGACAGAGAGCAAATGGCGGGTGTGACCGGTTGGTAGGGGATGCTCACTCATCCATGGCACATGATCCCACCTCTGATGTTTTGGAGGTCCGTGTTTTCTCTGCTCCTATTTTGTATTGTTTTATGGACTTTGATATTGAATATTGTTCGTTATCTCCATATCCTTCACGCAAATGTTATTAGAATATAACATCATAAAGAACGTTGGCGATGAAAAAAGCTTTGTCCTACAGTTTAGTTATTAGTCAAGTAACCTTTATCGTCTTTTGTCAGTAAAGATCCAAATGTAAAAAAAGACATGTCAGAGTCTGTGGTGTATTTTATTTCAAGTTCACTTGGATATATCGAGTCGACATAGCATTTTCATTGATAGCATGTTGCTGATTTTAAATATATATTGGATGGAGATAACCCATCACATAATTTTTTTAATATCTCCATCAAAGAAATTCAGAATGTTCTTGATATATGTTGTGAAAAAGACCAGCATTTAAAGTGACCTTGTTCTGTCAATGTTTTGTGCATGGTTGCTTCGTCTTACAAAACCTTGTTCTGTCAATGTTTCTCGTTGTCTTGTATTGAATTCTGATCTGTGACCAAGGTTATCATATATAATAGACAATTAAAATCGCTAAATCTTACCACTCTTCAATCCACCACAAGGAAAAGATTTTTTGGTCTCTGAAAGTAAAGGATAATACTTAGTTAATCTTTATGGCAGATGAGGGGT